GGCTGAAAGTATAGGTCAGTGGAGGAGAGTTTGCCTAGCATGAGCAAGGCCCTGGGTTCAAGCCAGGAAAAGGAAAGGAGGGGAGAGGAACAAAGTATCAAAGCAAACCAAGGACAGTGCTGAAGGAATACTAATATTGGATTAGTAAGCAAGGGAGGAAACAAGTGAAATTGGAAAAAAAAAATAACAAGGAAGAATCCATGTTAGGAAGACAATCAACAGAGTAATTCTGTGAAAGACAAATCAAGAAGGAAGAAGACTATTGCTATGTGCTGGTGGCTCATGCCTGTAATCCTACCTACTAGGGATGTGGAGAACAGAAGGATCATGATTAAAGGCCACCTTGGGCAAAAAGTTTGTGAGACCCCATCTAAAGAACAGCTGAGTGTGGTGACTTGTGCCTGTCATCCAAGCTAATTGGGAGGGTGAGATGGGAGGATCAAGGTCCTAGGCTGGGATGGGGAAGGTGTTCAGGAGACCCCATCTCAACAGAAAAAAGCTAGATGTGGTTGGCCCATTATCCCAGCTACGGGTGGGAAGCATAAAATAGGAGTATAACAGTCAATGCTGGCCTGGGCAAAAAACAAAACCCTCTCTCCAAAATAACCAGAACAAAAAGGGCTAGGTGTAACTCAAGAAGTCGAACCCATAAAAGTTTTTTTTTTTTAAATAAAAATAAATAAGAGTAAGAGGAAAATAAAGCAGTAGGTACATTACTGAGGACAGAGGTAGGAATAACGATTAAGCAGAATTATATCAGGTTTATTTGTAGCATTTGGAAAACATAAAAGTGTATTTGAAGACAGAACCCCTGAAGAAAACTGTGACCTCTCAGCTCACTGACTTCATCATCTTAGATGATTTCTCTTTTCCATTTTGCACTTTGGCCAGTTTATATCTTATCCTCACCATCATCTTTAAATCCCTAAAATGCAGGTATACCCATCTCTAATCACAACTCCTTTATTGTAGCAAACTATACTATCTTAATGTACCTCTTTTGATCACAGTTTCTGTTCTATTAGTCCCTAGCTATCAACACACACTAACAGTTTAGAGTTTAGGCCCCATCAACTTTGACTAGTCCTAGTCATACTTCCTTTTGTCATCCTACCTACCAAAACCCAACTCAGCAGGTCAGGACACTACTCTATACTTGCCTATACATAAAATGCTTGATTATACTGCAGAAACATATATATCTAGATTGGTAAGACTAAAGATTCAGCTCTTCCAGGACAGTATCTAGAGGCACTCAGAATGGCCCAGTATTTGACTCTCATCATAGGTTTTCCTACAGTATAACCTCTAAAAAAACAAGGCTGTCTTGAACCCCTGATAAGAGAATTGTTTACTATGAAGGTTGAGAAAACACCCAAAACTTCATGTAGCATGTGCAGAAGCAGACTTGGAGGAGTTTGTGCTGTGAAACCTAAAGCTGTCAAGGGTATCTGAAATGAAGAAACATGTCAGCAGAGCCTATGGTGGTTCCATGTATACTGAATGTGTCTGGATAAGATCAAATGTACTTTTCTTATGAAGGAGCAGAAAATCCTTGTGAAAGTATTAAAGGCTCAAGCACAAAGTCAGAAAGCTAAATTTAAAACTGAAGCTTAAAAAAAGTACTTAAGAATTTATAATTGTTATTCTCAAAAGCACCTAACCTTGTCTGGCAAGTTCATCTTTACTCTGCTTAATGATAGTTTTCATTCAATGTTCTCACCAATCAGATTTCACCTATAAAACCAATTCTCTACTATTTTTCTTCTCTTTCACTTGGATGATAAGAGATAATCCTTATATGAGTTTGATTATCTGTACTCTGGATCTCATCCCTACAGCTCTCTCAGAGACCTTGATTATACCCAATCTTTCTTGTTACTTTAGTTTCTTTCTATAATGGCTCTTCATATTAGCATTTAAGTATCTCTTCCATTTTAATCCTGCAACTTGTCTTTTCATCTATCTCTCCCTCCCAATCTTAGTCAAACCTCACTGAATACTGAGCTGAGATATGGCTCAGTGGTACAGCACTTCCTGGGTTCAAACCTTAGCACTGCAAAACCAAACAAAACCTCATGGAATAGTACTCTTATTGTCATGTTTGTTCCTTGCCAACCATTCACAATCCTACCTTCATATAGCCCCACTACTCTTCTAAAATTATTCTAAGGTTATGAATGACCTTCTTACCATTAAAGACAGCAAACAATTTATGCACTTTAACTTACTTGCTATCTCAGCAGCATCCTACTGTTTATCTCTACTATTCTGTCCCTCTCTACTTAAGCCTAATTAATGCATTGCTCAGGTTCTTGTCAAGCTCTTGCCCCTCCTATATATTCACTCCCCTAGGTAATCTTCTAAGGTAATCAGTACCTTCCAAATCTCTGCCGTTAGACCTACTTTTTTTCTGAGCTCCAAAATCCACGTTTCCCTGACTAGCAATACGTCAAGATGTCTGAGAGGTACTCAAACACAATGCACTAAAAATTAAAACCTATCCTCTCCTCCCTACACCACTGCAGCAAAAGTGGTTTTTTTCTTTAATGCTCCCAATCTCAGAAGATAAGGAATGAGGAGACCACACAAGAGCTAGAAATTATCATTTACTGTATCTAGTCACCACCAACACCTTGTTAGTCATTCCCTGTTACTCCTTAAATGTCCTTTTTATTCTTGTCAAAACAAAAAAACTTTCATATACAGTTAATCAGATTCCTAGATTTAAATACTCATTCTAAAACCAAAAAACAAAATAAGAAGTGGTGGGTCATGTTAAATGACACAATGAAGATGCAATCAATAGTCAGAATCCAGAACACAGATTATTTTATAAGATAACTAGGGTTTTTTTTTTTTTTTCATAAACAGACAGCAAGGGAAAAAAAGATAAAACACACACAAGGAGAAGTCACAGTAAAAAGAAAACTTAAGAGACTTATCAACTAAATCCAATGAGTAGATCTTATTTTAATCTTGACTGAAACAGATTATCAATATGAAAAATAATCAGGAAAATATAAACACTGACTAGGTATTAGATAACACTGAGATGAGTATTTGTAAGTGATTAACTGTAAAATAACTGAGAAGGGACAGATAACACAAGACTGACAATAGGTGGATAACTGCTAAATCTGTGTGATGGGCACATGAGGTTCATTACATTCTTTTCTCTACTTTTGGAAAACTTCTCTACTTTTGTAGACTTTTACTTACAATAAAAGTTTAATGTGTGTATGAGAATATACACAATATCCATTTCTATATTCACTGCCATCACTGTAGTCCAAGTCACTAATTATCCCTTGCTTTAGCTATTGCAATAGTCAATTATCTCATTTTCCCAGAATCGTGCTTGCCTTGCCAAAACAATTTCTCTTCACCTTTCCAAGCACTATAATTTCTTTATACACGTTATCTCATTAAGGCTCACAACAATCTTGAAGTACTAACAATACTGCCATTATATAGATGAATAAACTAAAAGTCAGAAAGATTAATTCACTGAGTACCACAGAACAAGAAAGAAGTACAACCAGAAGTCAAGTCCAAACAGGCAAACTTACTAAATTAGTCATCTAATAAACCCATTAATGTTGCCCACAGGATAAAGTTCAAACTCTTCAACATAGCCTAACAACACTTTGAACACACTTTCCTGGTCTCCTCACTCACTATTTCAGCCTCTCATACTTTAAAGCCTTCTTGTGTATTGGTCTCTCTGCCTAAAATAATTCTGTCTCCGTAACTCGCCTGGTTAATTCCTATTTTATTCTCAAGACCAGCTTAAGGATTTATTCTTCAAGGACTGCTGAATCCTCAAAAGAATAGCTTAGGTACTGCTATAACATATGCCCAGTTTATCCTCTACTTTCCTTTTTTCTAACCCCAATAATACTTACAATAATTTCTTTAATGTCTCCCTTTCTACCACATTATAAATAGCCTTCAAGTTAAGGAAGCTATTTTTGTTTTTTTAATTTACCACTGTATCCTCAGCACACAGCAAAGTTCTACACATAGTAGTAGTTCATAATAGTTCATAATAAGAGGAGTAGTTCATAATAATAAGAGGAGAAGAAAAGAAATACAAAGGAGGAAATATGCATATCAGGGAAGGTCAATGTTAAAAAGTAAGATGATAATGGTCAGAACAGTGTTTAACTTTTGGAAAGGACTAGTTATCTGACTATTTGGAAAAGACTATCTGAATGAACTTACACTGATGTAACATTTTTGGGGAATGGGCACAAGAAAAGCTTCTAAATTGCTAGATTTACTCTAGAATTGTTACGATTACAGACACAAAAATTCTTCAAAGTGTACAATTAAGATCTGTATACTTTTATGCCTCAATGAAAAGAAACAGAAGGAAAAGGGTAGGAAAGGAGAAGAGGAAAAGAAGAGCTATACTTCCAAATGGCATAAGCTTCAAAAAAAAGACAAATGGTATTGGTTTGACAAATCTGCAGATGTGGCTATGTGAAGATGAGAGAAAGCCAATCCCATTCAGGGTTGAGATCCAATGGGTATGGAAAAGTAAATTCACTTAAGTAGGTTAAAGCTTTACTTTTCTTGGGGGATAGGAGGGCAGAATTAAAACCATAGGGAAGAAGAAATTTCTATGGTTAAGAGTAAAAGAGTATTAGGCCTATAATAAAGTGAAATTCCAGAGGGAATAAACATCAAACAAACTAACTTTAAAATAAAAATGTTATTTATTTATACAAATCAAAGATACATACCTTTGTTGCATATGTAGGTTTTTCTATTGCTTCATCACCAATGAAGAAGTCTAGGTCATCAACACCTTTCATCACCCTCCTTTGAGCTTGATCACCTACTTTTGCTGACTCCTTAATAGCAATACCTTTAAAATAAGTTAGACATTTCAAATCCATTTCCTTCAAATGAGACAAACTTTTAACTTAGACTTCTCTCATTATGAAGTGTTATAAAACTAAATATGACATAGCATATTTTAAACTGTCAAACTAATGTACAAAATTCATAAGAAACCTATGACAAAATTCGTATTATATGATGAAATCTCAACTTCCACTCACTCAAAGACAAGGTCTCAAATGCAAAAGCCAAAAGTATTAGCTTTTGGCTAGTGGGAAAGGTTCAGTAATATTATTTTTAAAAACTATGTAAGATTTTGATTCTGAATAAAATTATAATCCCAGCAAGTTCACATATGCTTGATGGACAATCAGAAATTAAAAGTGAAGAACACTAACAAATAAAAGGGAGAAAAATAGCAAAGAGAATTTTTAAAAACAAACTTTCTTCATATTTCCACTCTACTCAATACTACGGTCTAATGCATTATTATTTAATATAAGAGGGACCTGTTAAACTTTAGTCACCTATATAAAGAAAACTCAACAGTCCCCATAAATAATTTCAGAAATCCAGCATATAATTTTAGAAGTAAAACCCACTGTTTACTACTTTGGTTGTTTTCTTTTTTAATACAGACAGGGTCTCACTATATAGCCCAGGCTAGCCTCATACTCACAATCCTCTTCCCTTGCCATCAGAGTCCTAGGATTATAGGCATATGCTACATCTGGCCTGTTTTGTACTTTGTAAATTAAGTTAAATTTCTGAATTCTTCCAGTTAAGCAGCTCTTCATTCAAAACAGTTATCTGAATGAACTTATGTTGATCTAACATTTCATTGTTACTTTTATTTAATAATTACATCTGAAAGTGGAAAAAAAACTAAAGGGAAAAAAATTTAAATCCACAATCTATTTTTCCATTTAAATGTTACAGATTCTCTCTGGCAATACATTTGTAATACACACAGGCATCCAGATGGCTCACTATAAATTTCCTGGAAAGTAAAATATATAAAACAACTTTAAACCATATCTACAGGCTTTCCAGGTCAAATATCTATACACACCATTAAGAAACTGGCAATGACTGTCTGTATCCACTGACTATGAACACTATACCTGAAGCAATGAAACTGAATGGGTGAGAACTGCAAAAACTAAAATCCTTTATTTGCCTTCTTACAGTAGGCAAATGAATTTTCAGCATACTGCAAGGACTCCTAAGACAGATAATAAAAACTAAGAATGAATGCTTTGGCACAGAAATGAAATAAAAAATGGATTTGATATTGATGAAACTGTACTGTTTAAGAGATGAAGATTATATGGGTTTCAAACAAAGACTTAGCCATTTAAGAATATAAGCAAAACCAAATCTGGCCAAGATGGCAATTACTAAAATAATCACAATATTTTACCTCATAAAAGATTACAAATTAAGAGATTACATAACTAGCATCATTACAGATTAAATTGTCATCCACCACTCCCCTCACTCCCAGTATCTCAGAATGTGAACTGTAGAAACAGTCTTCTGGGTTAAAATGAGGTTATTAGGATGGCCCCTAATACATATGATTGATATCCTTATTAAAAGGGGAAATCTGGATACAGAAGACAAAAATTTGGCTGCAAAGGAGGAAGACAATATGAAGACACAAATCGAGAAGATAGCCTATAGACATGTGACTGCAGTGATGCAGCTACCAACCAAAGGCCACCAAAAAAACATCAGAAGCTAGAAGATGCAAGGAAGGGTTCTCCCCTAGAGCCATCAGCAAGAACATGGTCCTGCTGACACACTGACTTTGTAGCTCTAGACTTCAAAACTGTTAAGGTTTTGTTACTTTAAGTCACCCAGTTTTTGGAACTTTGTTATGGAAGCCTTATGAAACTAAAACAAGCATAAACAATGGTTTAACAATACACTCAGGTAAAATTAAAATCGAGTACCAACCCACAGAAGGACACCTACATCGGTCAGCAATAAAGCTAACATTTGTCACTACATTCTTAAAATAGAACAACAAAAAAAAAAAATCAATGATATACAAATGTGGAAAAATAAAAAGATATAAAAAAAAGCATACCTGTCCTTCAGTATAGACAAATGCACATAAATAAAATGCAAGTGAAAAGGCAACACTGTCACTAATTAAGACCACTAGATTCATATGAAAGCACTATTTCATAAACATCCCCTACAATCTGGAAATTAAAACCTATCAGATTACCAGATTTGCCAGGTGCCAGCGGTTCACACTATAGTCCTTGCTACTTGGGAGGTTAAGATTGGAAGGACTATAGTTCAAGGCCAGTCTGGCCTCTACTTCCAAAAATAACCAGAGCAAAATGGACTGGAGGTGTGGCTCGAGTGGTAGAGTGCCTGCTTTGGAAGTGTGAAGCACTAAGTTCAAACACCAGTCCCACCAAAAAAAAAAAAAAAAAAAAAAAAATCAGCTTTAATTAATAGCCTAAGTTCTTACATAATCAATTCCTGGAAAAATATAACAGAAAAATGGTAAGTGCAAACATTAAATAGATTTCGGGTACAATTCTGACAGTGTATTTCTCCTTTTTTCACACATTTAATAATATCCCTATGATACAAACAAAAAAAATGTATTTGGTGTCCAACAGAGACTTAAGATTTATAGCTTTTAGCAAGCATAATTCCTACCTTATTCTCAACTTGATTGACAAGTGAGGTTAAAAATAAGAAAGAATAAAAACATTCTAAAGTCATGTACATAATGTACAAGTACAGTATGGTTATAGGAAAACAGAAAACCAAGGTTGGTATCTCTTAAGGTGAGATACCATCTTTATTTGGAAATATGGGCACTCACTGTCGGTGTCAATAGGACAGGTCCTGCAAACAATAATCGTATATGCATGCTAAAGGGCATTACGGGAGATGTACTATTTAATAACTGGAAAAACTAATAGCAGCAATATCCTCAAAGCAAACTTGGCAAATCATGTTTTTAAAGGACTGAATTAACATTCAGTATACAGACTATCGAAACTGATTACTTCTTTTACTTTGATTATTAGGAAGGAGATTTTTAAATTAGTTCATTTGTAGACTGAAAGAAACACTTACAAGATGGGATGATAAACTGTGGTTCTGTATTTCCAGCATATCCTAGTTTTGTATATCTGCAAAACAAAAAGAATTTTGTTATTAATCTAATTTTCACTTATTATGAAGTAGAATTTAATTGTAATATATACAATTCCACAGTTTCATTATTTACCAGCGCTGCTTTGAAAATTAAATGAAAATCATAAATGCCCATAAGTTTGTTTTGTTTTTTGTGATACTGGGGATCAAAACAAAGGGGGCTTACTCATGCTAGGCAACTGCTGCTCTACCATTGAGTTACACACCCCACCCCAAATGCCCATAGCTTTTGAGAAGAAATTCTACTTGAAGAAACTGATCCTACAGGGATATTCAAACATGTGAGAAATAACATATAAGATCAATTTGCTACACTCTTACTTATAACAGCTAGAGACTGGAAATGTCTATCAAAGGGGAAACTAGTTAAATATACCAAATTTATACCATGGAGTATTGTGCAGCAATAAAAAGACTGAGGAAGCTTTTATGTGCTGATATGGAATAATCACCTAAAATATATTGTTAACAAGCAAAGCAAGGTATAGAACAATGTTTCATTGTTCAAAGTAAAGGGGAATGATAAGAATATACATAGTTGATTAGGCAAAAAACAGATTTGAAAAAAATACAGGATATTAGTAATTTTGGTTATCTCTAAGAAAGGGAAGTAGACAGATGACAGAAATGAGAGGAAGTGTTGTTTGTTTTCCTGATGCTGTTTGAACTTCACACTTGCAGAGTAGGTGCTCTACCACTTGAGCCATACCTCTGATCCATTTTGCTCTGGTTATTTTGGAGATGGGGGTCTCTCGAACTAGTTGCCTGGACTGGACTCAAACTACAATCCTCCCAATCTCAGCCTCCCAAGTAGCTAGGATTGCATGTGTGAGCCACTGGTGCTGGGCTGAGAGGAAGATTGTTTTTATTGCTTTTATCATCTCATACCATTTGAATGTATTACTATTCAAAAATAAATATAATTTTAAATATTTTTGCTTAGTCTTACAATAAAATAATTTAAAAAATGGTAATTAGAAACTATAAAAGCTGACCTTTGACAAGCAGCATTTTGGAGGCTACTTAGGAGATAGCTGGACTTTTTTTTTTTGCCATGAAGGAAAAGCTATTAACTATAAACAGGCTTTAAAGAGAAAAGTAACAACAATATTTTATATTATTCTGTATTCAAACCCTCTGTTAAAAAAGAAGCAGGTAAATTGCTGTGACATCATTGCACATATCTGCAAAATTTTTTAATGTATAAAGAAAGGCCCAAAATTAAGTTAAAAACTGAGTGTGCCAAATAAATGTTCAAAATGTGATATTGCTCTATTAACTAAAGCATCAAAAGTTTCCCACCGTCCATGTTTAAAGAAAGTAAGCAAAACTTCTTTGCAAGGCATATGAAGAAAGTCCCTTTAATATTTGATTCCTAACAACCTCTCCCTGCTTCCCTGACACCACATTAAATCCCTAAACCATAAAAACTGCTGAGTTTCTGAATAGTCAAACTCATTTCATGCCACTAAGCCACAATTAAAACTGCTACTACATGAGATGTTCTTTTTTCAACCATGAACACAAGTGCTAAATTCTTACTCATCCTGCAAAATTCATGTTAAGTATCAAGTAACTACATGAAAACTTCCGCAACCTCTCCAGATACTTGACTTCCCCTACCCTTGTATTATTTAATAATAATCCCTGAGTTTTGATTCCCTCATCAGTAAAACAAGAAAAACCTAACTTTGGATTGTTTAGCCTACTAAGATAACAATGTAAACCATTTAGCATAGCACTTGGCACAAAGTGCTCACAAAGAATGTCAATTCTAATTATACTCTTTCGCCCAAATTTGCCATTCCTTTAGTAATTACGTAAAGGCCACACAGATACCTCAAGTTTTAAATGCTTTATAGTTGTGATACAAATTATCTCTACCCTCAAACCAATATCTACAGAAGATTCTCAGACTGTACAGCATATATCTGATATGTTTTTAATACCCTTCCACTCCCAAGAATTGTTTTATTCTTCCAATCCCAAATCTCTTATTAACGTAAAACCTTCAAGTATGGAAAAAACAGAAGTCCCATAATGGATAGAGGTCATATGACTCAACAGCTCACATTCCACTGATGTGGAGCAGAAAAATTAGAAAGTTAGTTAAACGCACAGCCACCGTGAACTATGAATCATCTATTGCCCAACAATCAATCGCTATCAGGTTTCTTATGTATCCTAGAAATATTTAATTCATAGACATGCACATGTTATTACTTAAAATATGTATTTGGAATTATATGGGCAATCAAATTAGGAAACTAGTTTATTTCTTTATACTTTCCTATACCGAGAAAAGTATCAATTTCTAAATAGTTTAAAATGAAAAATGTAAAACTACCTTATCCAATTTTATAAAACTTGTAAGGACAATATAATGTTTTCAAAAACTAAAGCAAAAAAATGTTACTGTGTGGCCTAGGGAATCAAGCTCTGGACTGTGACAGCAATAAGGGTTTTTAAAAAAAAAAAAGCTCTACAATGTTGATTTTGAATCCTGGGGGAAAGAGGAGGGGAACTTAGAAACTGCTTAAAGATGGAAATGTAAGAGACAATTCAAAAGTACTTTTGAAGTTATCAAAGCCTGATGACCAAAAGACAGCAGTAGAAATGTTATCAGGTTAGGTGGAATGGAAAGCCTGAACTGGTAAAAATGAAGAGCAAAAGGTAAATGAGATTTATACAAGAAATAGTATGTCACAGTAGTAATTACCTCTAGGGAGAGGGAAGAGGACTTGGAAACAGCCATCAATAATACTCTCTTGCTCTTAAAAACCCAAAAGACAAGAGAGTGGAACCCGTCTTATGTGGGAGGGGAGCTGGTATTAGTGGGAGGTGGGAGGAAGAGGAGAAAGGGTGTGGAGGGTGAATATAGTGCAAATACTGTGTACACATGTAAGCCTGTTGAAACTGTTGAAAATGATAGCTGCTGAAACTGTTTTGGGAATTCGGGGATTGGAAGATAAAGAAGAATGGCGAGGGCGGGGTGAATTCAATCATGATATATCTGATATATTATAAGAACATTTGTAAATACCACAGTGCACCCCCACCCAGCACAACAATAAAAAAATGGTAAAAAAGAAATTCCAAAAAAAAAACCCAAAAAGAGATGACATAAATATAAGAAAATCAGGTAATAATTCTAATATATATAAGTTATAGTATTCATTGTACATTTCTAAAAGGAAAAATTTTTAAATAGTAAAGTCAGTAATCCCTGTAGTGTAAAAAGCATTAGTATCCCTTATATTGGATATTTTTAATTTGGCAAATTCCAGTGTTTACTTATTAAAACTATGAAGCTGACAAGAGTACTTTTACTTAATACAATCATTTGTATTTCCTTTTTTCTTTGAAAAACATCTCATAACAAACAAGCTATATGAAGATAGCAATAGATTATTAATACGAAACCACTAAATGAGAATAAAATCTTTAAAAACATCAAACTTCAAAATTGAACTGGGATAAAAAGTCATGATAAAAATCATGCCAAAGAACAGTAAGCATGTTATTACACTGAACACTGCAACTTACTCAGGGAGAAATGGCAAGCTGGTGGTGTTGATACACACAAATAACCCCAAGCTGAGGAAATAGCTTATCTCAAAACAAAATTTTAGAAAGATACAAGTTGAGAATGTTGCTTAGTGTTAGAGTCCAAGAGGCCCTGGGCTCAACCCCCATTACTGAAAAAGGAGGCGGGAGGGGGGGACACAGAATTTTAACTTTCAATATTTCAACACTTTTAAAACACACATAACAAATTTAAGAACACAGAACTGTAGCTCTTAGAAATTTCGCCCAATCATTTTCTAAAATTTCTTAGTACTATACTGACAACCACTAATTTAACATAAAAAGAATTCTACCCAAATACAAATGACCTGCTTCTACCCTCCCTTTCTGTACCATATCATAAACGTAACATATACCATATAAAATCTTGACATAAATATCACTATCAAATTTTAAATGTAAATAGAGGCCTATAAATTAATTCCAAGGCGCACTCCCATAATACTCAACTGTCAGCTTTGCCGTATTTTTCCTCATACTACACCAGAACTCAAAAGGTCATCTGGTGTTAGGAACTTTTAGAAGAATGTAGCAGCCAATTTACAGGGAAATTTGCCAAGTAGATTAAGACAGTGTTAGCTACAAAGATAAATAGCATAATGATTTTAAAAGCTTTTCCAGTTTCCTCCAATGTTTTTTTCATTACATGCATGCAAATGTTTAACCTGACACAAAAAGATCAATAGACTGTTGAGTGGATTCCTTTGTGTCAACAGAAATAACATTCTTCCTGTCCTTTCAAGGCCAAACCTTAAAATCTGAGTGGAAGTGAGGAAAAAAGAACATGGTGCTTAAATCAAAGACATGAGTGAAAAGCTTGTTCTACCACATACTAGCCTGTGTTCATATACACAGATGTGATCATACACAGATGTCTATTACATAAATGACATTAATTCACAAGGTTTTCACAAGATTAAAAACAAGTAACAGCAGGCACTAGTGGCTCATGCCTATAATACTAGCTACTTGGAAGTTTGAGATTAAGGATCACAGTTTGAAGCCTATCAGGGCAAATAGTTGGCCAGACACCATCTTCAAAATAATCACAGCAAAAATGGACTAAAGGTGTGGCTCAAACAGTAGAGTGCCTGCTTTGCAAGTTATGAAGCCTTCAGTTCAGACCCCAGTCCCACCAAAAAAGAAAAGGAAAAAGAAGTAACAGCAGATGGCAATTAAGTATTCAGTAAACATTTTCTTTCCTGAATAATTTTCTATTCTCTATAAACCTCCTTAGACCCTCTATCCAGTCCTTTAATATATTTTTTGCTGGGAGTGGGATTTGAACTCAGCTTCACACTTGCAAAGCAGGTGCACTACCCCTTGAGCCACACCTCCAGTCCATTTTTGCTCTGGTTATTTTGGAGATGGAAGTCTTTCAAGCTAT